GCCCCCTGCTGGCCCCACTAACACCTCTTCCAGCAGCAACCTTAGTTTTTCCCAGGAGGTCTCCCATCCAGGTACTGACCAGACTCACACCTGCTTAGCTTCAATGGGTTGTCAATTGTGAGTTGTAGGGTGATATGGCTGCTTTAGACTGAATAAAGAAGGCTTCAATCTGATTTTTCAGAGAAGAGTTATTCATTTTCCTGAATGGAACAGGCAAAGTCAATCTAAACTGCTGGACCCTGTGCCAGCTCCAGTAATTTTAAAATATGTTGAAAGAAGAAATAGTATCAACCTCAAAAACATGACTAGGTAGTTTTTTCCAGATTTCCACAACCCTATATCCAAGTGCCTCTCCTGCTCTTTATTATAAAGACACTTTGCCTTTGTTTCTATTTGGGTTGTCTGGTTCATTTTTATTGTTGATTCTGAAACATTCTTGGGATAACATTGATCAAACCATGAATATTTGAGGTGAAGTGAATACCTCCATGAATGCCAAATTGGCCAGTTAATCCATTGCATGGTGCTCTTTCAGGTCCTGTAACGTTATCTTCTGTTCACTTTGTCAAGGCAGAAATGGATTTGCATAACTGTAGTGTAGATTGTGGTAGTATTCCACAATATTCTTCAGGCATGAAGTCCAAATCACAGGCTTAAAGACCTTGAATAACTAATTGTTATCCACACTTAGTAACTTTATTACTAATAGCCTTGCACAGATCAGATGTCAGAAATGGAAAAACTGTGAAACATACTTCTTTAAATAAACTTAATTGTGGTTTGATATATTTGAGACATGATAACAAGAAGCCAGAATACAGAATTAAATGCCAATTACTGTTGCTACATCTGTTATTTACATTAAATATGTTGACCTCCAGATGTGAGGAATATACTCACAGTCACATATTGAGGATATGAATTCTCATTATTTTCTACAGAAATCTCAAAATACTTTCACATGTAGTCTTGTTAACCCCAAAGAGAAGTTCCTAGTCCACTGTCACTCTGAATCACTGAGTAATTACTGGGAGTCTCTTGTATTTTATCACTTATGTAAGACCTTCTAGACTGGCTGTTTGAACTGTTTCTTATTGTTGTATTGAACTGAACTAATATATAAGACTCAAGTATTTGATATTTATTAATTAGCTAATGCACATGCTAATGAAAATGTGAAAAGGGTACAATACTGTACAATCACCTTAGAATAGAGCACTTGAACATAACACTACACAGACTATTTCACAAATAGCATCAAACACGTCTTTCATGGGTCCTTGCATAGAGAGACAGATGTATTGAATAAAACACTGAAGAAACTTCACCACTGCTGGTGCCACTCAAAACCCTTTAGATGACAATGGAGGAAGCAGGTTTGGTTAGGTATTGCTTTACAGCAATGAGCTTATCTGACTTCTTGGTTCTAGACATGTAAGAATTGCTTTCTAGAATACTACCATTAAGGCTCCCCTGAATTGAGTAAATCTTGATATTAAACAATAAAATTATTGTCACAAAATCTGAAATATAAAATATAAAACAGTGTTTGCAAACCTTTGTTCTAGAGAGTTCTATGTGCAAAGTAAGTTGATGAATACACAAATACATATCCCTATAATATTAAGACATTAAAAAAATCTATACAAATCCTCTGTGTTGGCAAGGAGATTTACAGATTTTTGGAAACTTAAATTCAAATATCAAGGCAATGAAAAAAGATTTCTAAACAGTTACACAAAAGAGAAAAATAAACTAAAGCTGTAAATCATTTTTTTAGTATTAGTAAAATATTTTCTATAAAAATGCTTTGGAATTACACATTTCAGTTCATCGAGATTGGTTAATGCAAGCAGACAATCCCTGCAAATACAATCATTCCAAACTCCCAACAATGCCTTGTATAAATTAGCTCACCTAAAGCACTCACCTTTCACTCATTATGATACAGATATTTACCTGAACGCTACTTAAAGGTAGCTTTAAAAGCTATACACTCAAGATGAATGTAGAATATTGCTGCTTTTAAACTTATGGGACTGCTTGTATTGCCCTGTGTCATTCTATGTCTGAAGCATTTCTTTATGGATGTTTTAGTGTATCCATGGACAATGCAATGATGAGTCAGTACAAGCTCTCTCCTTCCTGTACTAGAGGAATGTATCTTTTGTGACTCAGGAGTCCATACTGAGAAGTATGATTTTCAAAACTGGCAATGTAGCACACAGATGTTTTGGGGCACATGGCTATCATACAGAGAGACATAAATCTCTGCTTAAGTTGTGCCATAGCTCACTGGAGATGAGCTCTCAAATCTAGAATGTTTGCTGCACAGGCTGCCAGGGTGAACTGCAGAACCAACAAAAAAGGGCACACAAGAGGATTGTCAGGCAAATTTCATATGTCAGAAGTTTATTAACTTTTCTAATAGCACCTTTAATAAACACCACTAGTGTACATTAGGCTTTGTTAATTGTGAATTTGCAAAACTGTAAAAATTTCCAAATGACAGGAAAATATACTGTCCATTAAAACTACCAAAACATTTTCCAATGAATCTGTGTAAACCTGTGTCAAAAAAGTTTGTGATAACATAATGGATTATTAAAGGTGGTGCTAAAACATTTCATAATCATCTGGTTTTGCTTTGACAGAAATTTTTAAGTGTTTGCATTTAGGTTGTAGAAACAGTATCGGTGGAATACTGCATTTATCTCTTTAAAACAAAAAGTTACATTTTCATTCCAAGTTGACTAGTGATAATTAAAACACCTAATTTATTCAACCCTGGACTCTTGTCACTTGCACCATGGTATTTTAATGAAAATCCCCATGTCCTTGTTAGCAAAATCACTCTCTGCTCACCATGTTGTTTTTGTCACTGGATGAAACCAAATGATAACAATAGTTTTCTCATTAAACTGCAAAAAAATATATGAATCTAGAACAATTATTATAAAAATCACATTTTTCATTTCTTCTATTAAAATAATTTACTCTGTGATAGTGTGAACATGTTTTCCTATGAAAACCGAGCAACAAAAAACTAAATGAGAATTGGTTTCTAGGTTATCTAACTGTAAAGCCATCTGAATTTGTTTTTGATGCAATCAAACAGAAATTTGTAAGACAGGCCCTATAATACCCTAATAATGATAATGATACCCTATGATATGATACCCTATACAGTATATACAGTACAGTATCACTGTATGCATATTGGATCTGAGATCTAGAAAACTGTCAGTGTATATCATAGAGTTGGACAGATAAATATCCATAAAATGTAAGTTGCACTGTATATTCACATCCAACACATTTATTATGATAAAAGTACAATTTCTACTTTGTACTGTCTTTTTGTGTCTACAGATTCACCTCAGGAGATCAGTAAATGATGTTGTTGATGTCCTTGGTCCCCAGAAATATCATTATTTGTTAAATCTATTAATTCAAAGTATTAGAAACACAATCGTTTGTACAAAGCTGACAAAATGACTAATTCTGATTTATTGTAAAATACTCACTCTCAACATTGGTCCATTCTGGAACACATGTGGTTCATCACATACCACACAATATTCATTAAGTACTGGTATTCTCTGTTCAGCATATTCCATGGTCTAAAGGCAAACGAAAATATAGATGTTTTTTAACAATTAATATTTATAAAGTTAAGGCTAGTTCAAGAAGCATCATTACTAGAACTTACCTGAACAAGAAAGCCTCGATCTCTCACTGGGATTGACTTTGCTCCACAGTTTGGCTACAATGATAATGATAATATTCTCAGTCTTAAAATTGTACGACTAACGTAAATGAGGCAGATTTAGGTTCCTGTAGAAATGTCAACACACTATACATGAGATATTGATCACCACCTTCTTCATTCACTACTTGAACTACTCTCTCACTACTCTCCGTAAAATGTAATAAAATAACTAAATATATAAACCAAACATTACAAATAACAAATGAATCTAAAATATACATCTGCAAAAATACACATCTTCTGTAGTATTATCAATTTGAGCAAGATTGAAAAATTCAGCACACTATTATTTAGTTACATTACACTTAGCGAAGACCAATTAAGACAGTGAGTTATTATTATTTAAAGGAGCACATTTACCAAATTATCGACTTTAAAACATGTTATACCGCAAAATGTAAACTAAAGTGTAGTTACAGTAATGGCTTTTGCTGAACTGGTGTAAACTTAAACAGGATATTTCAAACTTTTGTCCCAATCAATGGCGAAAACACGTTTAATTTTTGGGACAATGCTCTTTTTCAATTCTAATTAAACTTACTTTTTATTAGGGAAAATAAAAAAAAATCTTAGTTGTTTTCAAGAAAAACAAAATATTACCCATTTCCAAGAATTTCCAAATTACATTATGCTAAAAATCACAATAACTCCCTGATGGAATATGTATAAGCATGAACATGATAAGCCAAATACTTCCCAGTTCCACAATCAAATGTCTGAAACATAAAGCATCTTTGTGTTTCAGTACTTACAGTTGGCTGAGAGGACAAAGATGGCGCTAGCATGCCAATAAGCCCTGAGGTAAGAGAGAGTCGCCTGCCCTCAGAAACAGGCTCCTTGAAGAGCTCGGTTTTGCCCATTTTGGTGTTGCTGGAGTAGGACCGGCTTAACAACTTGTGGTGCTTAAGTCCGTCCAGTTCCTCTGTCCGAATAGTGCTTGAGCAAGATCTGCTCAGGAGCTTGTGGGGCTTAAGGTTGCTGTTGTGCTCACATCTGGGATCCCCTGAACATGATCTTGGTAGAAGTTTATGAGGCTTCAAAGAGGCACAATCATCCTGCTTCAAAGAGGCAGAACAGGGCCGGTTCAGGAGTTTGTGGGGTTTCAAGGCCACTGTCTGCTCAGCCCTTGGGTCACTTGACAAAGAGCGCCCCAGAGGTTTATGGGACTTGTTAGCAATTCCATCTTCTGCCTTAACTGTACTTGAACAAGTCCTGCGCAACAGTTTATGAGACTTTGACACTCCATCTTGTTCTGCCTTCAATTTTGTTTTACTCTTTCCACATCCAGGCGGAGGATAGCTTGGTGATCTGGAATTGCATGATATAAAAGAGAAAAAAAAGTTCCACTTTTACAGAAGTTCCCTGCTGAAACTAGTGGTTCATCTGGTTGAACTATATCTCAGTTTTTATTAATTGTTTTTTAAATTATAAGTGGACTGAGAGCGTATGTTTCTCCCAGCTAGTACATCATGCTAGTAGTACATCATAGGGTTACTCTCAGCAATGCTAGAATTCATTTATACGGCTGAGTGGACTAGAGGCAAGCTCGAAGACAAAACAATGTCCACAGTTGGAACATGAACCCAAAACTACCACCCTTCACAGCCCCAAATGGTAATCATTAACACTATATTAATAAATATTGAGGATAAACATACAAAAGGAATGATAAACAAGAAGTCATTTTAACACATTCTGAATGTGTTAAAATTATTTTGTCTTGGGCTGCATTACTACCCATTACCTAACCATGTTTTCTGTGTTGCTTGTTATTCCATAATTATAATTTCATGCTTAAAAGATTATTTCCCATAAAAGATATGTCACCACTGCAAACCTCCACTGAGATTCATTCATGGACACAGATTAAATTAGCCTGTTGAATTTAGCAAAGCCACAAAGAGAGAACAGTCAGCAACACAAAGCTATCACAGTCTGCAGTGTCTTTTATATCAGGCTTTACACTGTCTGGCTTTTGATATTGAGATTAGTACTTTTGTTTGTTCATGGATCACAAAGCCTAAAACTAAAAACAAAATTTACACCACCTGCAAAAAATCATACTTGCTTTTCTCCAGAGAGCTTTCATCGATGCTTGTAGATGTGACAAAAATGAGATTCTGAATAGTGTTAAACAACTTAAATATGCTGTAATTTTGTAAACAATATACAATTAAATAATTTTTAGAAAATATGCAAAATGCACTAAAATATTCTCATTAAATATTTTCAACTGTTGCCTGAAAGATATTTTGAAAGATATAATTAAAGCAAAGCTTTAAATGTATAAAACAGAATATTAGTACATTAAATATCTTTACCTGCGCAGAGTTGAAAAGATGTGCAGAGGAGACTTCACTTTCTTATCTGTCTGTTTTTTGCTATGTGGGCAATTTATCTTTTCTTTACTTTGATGCTTCCATTGCTGAGTGACAAATGTCTGCATTATCCTTAAAAAAATACATAATGATATTTTATATTGTTTAATAATGTTTTACATAATGTCATTTACATGAATAACATATAGATACATAGAATTTGATTTCTTAATGCTGACAAACACTACAGCTCCAAATGCCTTTTGTTATTATTGGTACTGGTACATCTAAATATTGGTCCATTTACTGTATATATATGAAGAAAATATTTTATTCCTCTCATAAATATAAATATGCTTATGTGCACCACAATGTGTAAAATATAGTAACGAAAGCAAAAGGCGGTGCTGTGTCAACATTATGGTAGTACTGCACATTAATTGTTTATGAATTACATTAGGATATAAGGCAACCAAAGATAAATAATTCTTTAAACCTCAGTCACACTACGGTAAATACAAGTGATCCTGTAAGATAATTAGCAGCTTTTTTCTAGGGTATATTTAAGAATGAGAATAAGGTCTGCACAAATGGGATATCATCAAATAAAAAGACAGAAAGATAGACTTTCTTACTTAAACCACAACAATTCCACAGACCACATATGAGGACTATTATTACTATTATGTCTAATATGCATTGAACCATAATTCATATCATTCTTTTAACGCATCATTCGATTTTGCCAAGGCACAGAAATGCAAAATATATGTTTTTAAACATGCCAGGGTTCCCTGGTTTCTTCACATCGCCCAAAGGCATACTGGTAGGTTGATATTCTGTTGTAAATCTGACCCTGGTGTGTAAATGTATGTGGTCTTGTGTTTGTATCTGTGTGTGCCCTAAAATGGACTGGCGTTCCATCCAAGGTGATCTTGTTTTGCACCTGTTGCTTGCCAGGTTACACTCCCCTACCACCCTGTACTGGATAATGTGGGTCAGAAAATGAATGAATGGATGAATCCAACAATATTGGATAATTTTGAAACCATGCTTTCTAAATTGGTAACAAAGATAATTTTCTGCATAAATCATGCATAAACTTACTTTTTCAACTGATGTCCGAGTCCAAACCTCTCCTTTGTAGAGACCTGGAATACATCAACTGTCGGAACTGAAAATAGAGAAGTCATTATTGTTTAAACACAATATTCAGGATACAATATTTAGGAAGAATCCTCATTTAAGGATCACCTAGCACAAGGATACATTTTAATGGATTTTTTATGTTTAATTAAGCAAGCTGAGCAAGTCCATTAAACATCGATCGAACATGAAAACTTTTATTATTAAGTGAAATTTTCATGTTATTGAAATTTTCAATAGTTCAGATTCAAAATGCAATCTGAAAGTGCAGTTTTAGGGAGCTACAGAAACATTTAAATGTAATATTTAAAAACCTACTATATAGTATATAACACACTGGGATAAGTTTCACTAGGTATTCCATAATGACAAGCATCTGTGTATTATGGACTCATTGACAAATCTTTATGGGCAACTTTCAATTATATTTTAAACTTTTAACATAAATTAATCCATTAATTAATAAATCCAATCCTGAAATTTAAAGGGTTAAAATTATAATTAATAATAAGGCTTGCAGGTATAAAAAATGAACACAGGATCCAGAACATTATTAACTGAAAACATTTTTAAAAAACATTGTCTAACCTGGGCCATTCAAATACTGGGTGAGTGAACAATGTAACCGTACTATCACAGGCTCTTTCCTGATTACATCCCAGGCAAGAGCAATTTCTTCCTGTTAAAAACAAATAATTGAAAGCATTTTAAACAGGTACAGTATGCTGAATATGAAACGTTTCAGTAACATGAAAAATCTCAGTCAGTTCTCCTTTGCTCAAGAACACCACCTAAAACATATTCTTGACACAAACTGGAAATCTAAATGTGTTATCCATACTGCTTTAATATCAATTGCAATTTGATCTTTACACTAACATATTTTATAGTATGTGCAAGTAAAGTTGATTCCAAATATCACTACAGATGAAAAAAAAAAAATATAACTTACATCTAGGAAACTGACATCAATATGCAAATCAATGTCAACATCGTCAATTGCACCATATTCCCTGGAAAACAAAAACATTTAAAATAAAGTATTGTTTCATGTAGAAAGACTTTGCAGAAAGCATCGTTTTAATATTTTTAGAAAAACTATAATGTTGCAGAAGTATGTTGGTAAGAAAGTAGTGTAATTTGGTGCAGATGTGGCATTTGCTCAAATGGCAGAGGGAGTAAGAGCTTAGCCAAGGGATCCTTGATGAAGTGGAAGCTGAGGTAGATTGAGCCAAGGAGCTGTTGCACATGGGGACAGGGGATGTGAAGTGAATGTCAGGAAAGGTCAGCATGCCACCTGTATTTACATACAATTGGCTACTCAGCAAATGTGCATTTCTAATGTTCAGCACCTGCATCATCACTTGCACTACACTTGTGACACAAAGTGGAAGCAAAGATAAAACATGCTAAAAGTCATAGTCGATATTTTCACCACCACTGTGTTTCCTAGTTATACTATGTTAGCATTTTTCTAATTAATGTAAATTATCACTTTACATTTTAAGTTATATCAGAACACCTTCAAGTTATCTGGTGTTGTTATCAGACAAGCTGAAAGCATGCTTTCTCGTATGACAAACGTTTTTTTTTTTGAATAATCAGAAAACAGAATTAGATTAAAAAGTTTAAGACCTATTCAATTAAGAAGACTTTTTAAATCTGAATTCATTGCACAATTCAGTGCAAGAAGGGATGATTCAAAATGGATCCAGATCCACCTGAAGCAAATATATAACAAGGGACTCCCTATAAGTACTTTTGCACATATTTTATTCAAGACAAGGTTTAAAAGAGCAAAAGCAGTGTTTGAAGATTTCATAAAATCAAACATTTATATTGACACACATTTATATTAAGAGAAAAGGTAGCAATTCAATTCTGCATCATACATTTCTAACCACTTGGAAAATTATATTGTGATTTTTTCTGTACTGACATCTTCAACCTGTCCTTGGCCCAGGCCACTGTACCTAGCTGCTTCAGGACAACCACCATCATGCCAGCCAAAAAAATCAGCACCCACATGCCTGAACGACTACCCCCCTATTGCATTCACCCCCATCATAATGAAGTGCTTTGAAAAACTACTTATTCCACACATTAAATTCCAAAAACACTTGATCCTCTCCAGTTTGCCTATCGCACAAACCACTCCATGCAATCTTTATAGCTTTACATTACGTTGAAACTGATGTAAGGGAACATGGTGGACTGGAGGTGAAAGATGTAAATGTTCTCATTCTATTTAATCTAGACATGTAATCTTCAAGACTGCCAAGTTCTTTGCTGTACTGCCAAATTCAGCACAAACACCATCATCAAGTATGCTGACAATACCACAGTCATAGGCCCAATTACTGACAATGATGAGACAGGGAGGAGATAAAACAACTTGCAGACTGGTGCCGAACCAACGACCTATGTCTCACCATCAGCAAGACCAAAGAGCTGATCTTTGACTTCAGGAGACAAGGAAAAGTCCACTCCCCCATCTACATAGAAGGGTCTGCGGTGGAGATGGTGAATAACTTCAAATTCCTAGGTGTACACGTCTCTAAGGAACTCACACGGGCACTCAACACCTCCAGTCTCATCAAGAAGGCACAACAGCGGCTGTACTTCCTGAGAAGCTGAAGAAAATACGCCTGCATCCACAGATCCTTACCAACTTCTACAGATGAACGGTGGAGAGCATCCTGACCAGCTGTATCAGAGCCGCATCTGACCAAAAGACTCTGCAGTGAGTGGTCAAAACTGCTCAACACATCATCGCCAGTGCCTTACCATCCATCCAGGAAATACACAACACCAGAAGTCTGAAAAAAGCCATTGAAATTATGTCTGACCCCACTCACCCCAGTCATAACTTGTTTGTCCCCCTACCATCTGGCAGAAAGTTCCGGACGCTCCTGTCGCACACAACTAGACTCCAAAATAGCTTCTTCCCCAGAGCCATCAAGCTTGTGACACCCCCACTCCCTCCCATCATACTATGATCTCTCCTCAATTCTTCCTGTACCCACAATGACTGTACTCCAACACCACTACATACACGACAACTGAATGTAAGCCGAAATTGTACTTAAAACTGTACTAGTTGTAATATTTATTAATCACCGTATTATTTTTGCACTGTTCACCGAATTACTTTTGCACTGTTTTTGTCCTGTTGTTTTCTTTTCTCTGTTTGCGTATTTACACTGTTTTGATTACACTGTATTGTTATTGTGTTAATGTTTATTGTCTTGTTTTCTGCTTTATTTATATACTGCACCTGAGTGACTAATGAGAAACACTTTTCAGTATACTATGCACCTGTGTTAGTATAATTACAAATAACGTTGAATTGTTGAATTAACCTAGGGTTTTGTTTAATATGGTCGTTAAGACATCACTGGAAACGAACATTAAATGATATGATTTGAAATAAAAATACACCTCCTAAAAGACTGCAGCTGGCCATCCCTGGCTACATTATACCAATTAATTTTCTAAATTTATCTAAAATCATGGTATAGTGTTTACAAATTGATCATTTAAAGAAAAAGTTCACTAAACACTAAACTAAAAGTGAACTTAAACTACACTAAACTAAAGTGGTATAGTGTTCAAGTAAAATCCTCTAAAAAATAACACTATACAGGGTAATTATCACAAAGACGGCACCCTTTTCTACCAGAAGTGGCATTCTGAGAAGTAACCACTGAGAAGTAACAGGGTTCTCTACACTGTAAAGTCCTGAGGGAGAAGGTATCCTGTGACAATTTAATTCACACAAAATATTAGACCAGTGCTGCTAAGGGTAAAGAAGAAAACAACGAGGAAACTTTCTGTTCTCCTTCCTTGAGTAAGGGGCATCACTCTATGCTATTTTTCATTTATTTTCTATGCCTATCAGTGTTAAATTACCTGTAGGAGTGATGCACACATTGCTGCTATCTAAGTTATTTTCAACACAGCTTAGAAGTATCAATGAATTTGTACGTAGGCCATTCCCCACCCTCTAAAATAACTCTTGTCAACAGCAGGCTTATGGTTAAAATGTCATGACAGAATTATTTCACTCTTAATATCACTACATTCAAAGTGTTTTCCAAACACAATGAACAGGAATGCAAAAAGAAAGGAAAGATCTACTTAATAAGCAATCTGGTTTATATCTTTCTAATGTAATTATAGTACTAGTCTGACCATACCGTATCTTATTCTGGAAATGTAGCCTTTACAAAATTGTCACACCTTTTGAACTTACTATCAGATTATGTATTGTAAAATAAAATGAATAATTTGACTTTTTTATTAACACAGTGTTTAGATTTAAAGATGACTTCCCTATAGACAAGAAGAACACTGTAGTATGGCATGCTCTGCGGGCCCCTGTTAAATAACTATCAGTATTGATTGAGCTATTCTTATGTTACAAAGGACATATGTGATAATGGGGGACTTCAGACTGAAAATGTATTAATGTTCAAATGACAGCATATTGTAGATTTGAAGTTCAAGGTGTATAATCTAATAAGGCTTGCTGTGCTAAACCCTGTAACACAAGGACAAATCCAGGGTACCTTTATTATATATACCCAATACAACTGTTAAGATAAGATCAAAATTTTATCTGCTGTTGAGTCTTTGCCTGGTAACATAAAATTCTAAAGGCTAGATCAAGATTGTAATATTTTAGACTTTATCCTCCCTCCATTTCTGATAATAAAAACTTAGAACTAAATAAGTAATGCGAGGAAACATAAAAAGCTGAAGTTGTAGGTTTGCTGGCCTTGGGAATTTACAGGTATGTTTCATGACGAAACACATGAAACACATGATCAGACCCAGGGATTAATTGCTTACATGAAAATAATCCAAACATACCTAGCACATAACATCGAAACAGTGCATGTACTATAGAAGATGAAAAAATTAAATAGCAAAGGCAATGACAAACAATATACTGTATGTTAAAATAAATACAGAGCATATTGAATAATAAAACTAAACTAATATTATATTAAGTTCTTATCGTCAAGATCTAATAATTAGTGTTCTAAGTTTTTGTAGGTAATAACATTTGAGTTGCTGAAGCTAACATATTTCTGTGACTTCCTGGCATTTCACCAGCAGCAAAACACTATGCTTGCCAAAGCAAAAGATAAGGGAGTTTTTTTTTATAAAAGTAAAACACAGTGATAAATTACCATGTCTAAAAACATTGGGATCTAAGAAGGAACATTTACATTCTTCAATTATCAGAACAACATATGCCAAAACATTTGGGTAAAAGGTTTTGGGTAAAATTCAGATTTGGCAATTTTCAGGACTGTCCTGCAATGGAGGAGGCACTACACTTAATATCCTTAATTCCTCAAACATTGATAGATGATCCTTACACATCTTTAAGTTTTTCAGTTTATTATTTTTTTCAGTGTAATCTGTAAGGATTTTATTGCAATATTCTCCAAGATGGTACGAATATGTATCTTTTCAGGTGCATTATGAAGACTGAAAAAAAGTAACTGCAAGAGAAGGAAACCAATGCCACTGGTTTAATACTGCAAGCAGCAGTATCTCGTTCGATGTGCTACTATATATGAAATATCCTTTATTTAAACTTACATACTTAAGATGCACATGCAATACACTTTGGTAAAAAAGACACCTTCTGTATGTGCATGTGATTGCTGAACATCTAAAATGTTTGTACACTAGCATCTAAGAATGGAATGATGAAGATCTATGATACACTTAAAAAAAGGAACAAAAACTGGTAAAATAAGATTTGTGTAATCAAGCATGAAACCTAACTGAAGTAACTGAACTATGTTTCACTGATATTTGAAATTGTAGCTCAGAGTGACTGTTCCTTTCCATTAGGTCACCATGATATAGTCAAACTGTAACCGTTTCTGTTCTTAAATTCTACTCCCTAAATTGTAAAATGTTGAGTTCTTAATAAACATCACCCTTTTTTCCATCTACAGACAATTCAGAACTACACTAAACCAGGGAACTATAAGATTTTTTACTTTTTCCTGAAATGTATTTTGTATACTTTCCAACATCACTACTTTCAACCATTTGGGATCTCATTTAATTTTCAACAATCTTTTGATTTTTGCTGCAAAAGTGTTTTATTATCAGAAAAGAAATATAAGAAACAAATATTACATATATTCATACTAAAGCTTATAAGATATTCTTATATAAATACTGTACATGTAGACAAATAAGTCAACAGAAAAAGAAGCCGAGCTGTCAATATTTGGCTTTTCTAAACTTATTTGCATTTTATAATCCTGGCCCATCCATCTGATTCCAAAACAGATCATTTATATTGCAAAATCATATTGCCATAACAAGACCTCAGAATTGCATGGTGCTCTATCTAAAAATTTCTCATTTGTAATTGTTCTAATGTTATTCAAATAAAATATGCAAAATAATTGTTTGCAACATAAAAATATGGTTGATCTGAAATAAAGTTTGATGTCCTTTGTTTCAGAGAGAAATAATGTTGTACTTTGATTACCCAAGATTGAGCAGAACGCCTGCCCTGATGTCAATATCAAGGTATTAAATCTTTTCATTAAATCAGGACATTAAACTACACCATGGGTGCAGATGCATCACCACAGTGAGTTTGATGAGATGAAAAGTAGATTATATTACTTTTTTTTTTTACAACTGGAGGCATGCACTGGCTCAGTGAGATATTAAAAATGACCAAGGTCCTAAAGCTTAGCAGATTGCTTTCTGGTGTTAATTTGGCTCATTACATTTTACAGACAAATTCCCTGCTGGAAGATGAAGGATTAAGATAAAAGGTTTAACTGAAAGCTTAGAGGCTAAACAACATTTTAGTTCCATCTGTTTAGTAACTAGCATGATGGTAATCATAGTGGCAAAGATGACCTCAGTGGACTTTCTGCACAGAGCTGGGAGACTAGTGGTGTTACGGCAGGTTCTGTGTTCTGCAACCCATAAATCAGCAGCTACACATGGCAAGACAACCAAAGAGAAAGGCTGGAAGCCTGTTCATCCATCACAGCAATGTAGTACGAGAGAAAATGCTGTTGGCTGTCTGGGCACAGAAATAAAAAAGCAGGTTATCACATTCTACATCATTATTCACAGCAGTCACAGCAGAGAGCTATGCTGAAACTCAGTACCTTTCCCAGCTAGCAAGAGCAAGCAGTTTTTTACATTATTTTGTCAACTAATAATTTCATTGCTTTTTTCTGCCATGTCTATATTACGGGACAATCAATATGATATAAAGACAAAGGATACAGTTATCTGCAGCTTTTGGTCTTCCTCATTTATTTTCTTTAATATGTTGTTTAAGGGACACACAGCCATGGTTAAAAACTCAATATACAGTACTTCCATTAAAAACAGCAAACTGTAGTACTGGAGTTTGACAGCTGGTTAGAATTTTGCCGCAGGTATACAGCAGTCAAATGTAACCATGTGTTTTACCTCAAAATTAAATGAGGAAGACCAGAAGCCACAGCTAACTCTATTCTGCATCTTTATTTTCCCTAATTTAACAGTTTTTAATTAATTAACAGTAATGCTACCTGTTACTTCCACCTCTGCCTGAGACTTGTAACAAAGAGTAAACACAATCTAGAGTAAACAGTTTTTTTTTATATTCACTTATCACTTATTAATAGTTTAATTGTTTCTTTCAGCAACAGACCTATAATGAGACATTCAGTTTGATATCTGGGTGTGTAAGACAACACGGCAGAGTGCAACAGATTTCATTCTGAACAAAACTTAAAACAGGAGACACATATTTACCCCAGAGAGTTGTAGGAGTATGGAACAAACCACCCAGCCATATTGTTGAATCTGATATGCTAACGTCTTTCAAGAAATGGCAGGAAGAGATCCTTTATTGAATTAGTTACTAATTACGAAATGAGCAAGATTACCAACCAGCCACCTCTTATTTGTAACTGCTGTTATGTTCATACAAGTATATGACCTGACACACAAAAAGGTTGTCCCTAAAATGCCTTGTTTATGAAATGTGACATGTGACTATAAAGTTTAAGAAAAGGGTAAAGGAGATAATACACCTCCTTAATAAGGGTGACAAGAGTGGAATATATCTGAAAAATACCTGAAAGGAGGTAAACATTGTTCAAAGGCCACAAAAGATAGCGCTTTAATCTAAATTCTTTTATATAAGTTGTTTGCATGACGAAACAGTGAAAGTAATCCTAACATAGACAATCCTATCTTAACACAGACAGGTCAGGAAGGGATACTGTTTTCCCAAATACAAATATATATATATGGTACAGTATATGCAGTAGTGAGCAATCAGACATTCATGTTATGCATGGGCAGTAGTCTGCAGCAGAACTGTCATCTATTTTTGTACATTCTTTCCTAATCATCTTTCTTAACACACTGTACTAGATTAGATCATACAAGGTGAATTCTTCACAACTTCCTGTCAATCTCATTATTTAATTTTCAAGTTACTGGGAACACCAATGTATCAATTTTAAATAGTTTTAGTAGTTATTTTTAAATGTCACATGCTATAAAACCAACTCATTTTTATAAACATTTCCATTCTGTTGGCCCTGTCATTGGGTCCATACAATTACACAGTCTGTATGATTTCCCACTAGTCTATACTGTATACGTGACGAGGCTCAGTGCAACAAGCATATTACAGAAGTGTAGAATTGTGCTGTGGTGGAGAACTCGGTCTTTTGGCACAGCACAATACCCGACTGGGGAGTAGCATAGTGAGCCTGCAAGTTACCATGATTTAAAAAAATAATTTGCACAATCATTTCCATTCACAGAGTTCAATATTCAGTGCAGCATGAATCTAAACAATTCAAGCAAATCCCAAGGCTGGTGTGTTGTGTTTTATTCTATTTCTTACAATTCAGTCCCTGCAAAATAAGTGAATAGGACATAATTAAAATGATATTTTCTAGTGGTACTAATTAAGTTTGACCTGATTGTTACATTTCATTGTAAAATATGAATGCATCTATAATACTCTGAGAGGTGGATTGGAACCAAACACATTTTTTGCATTTTAATGCCTCTCACAATTTTGAGTATTGTAACATTACCTTGGCACAAAACTTAATCATACATATCATGTTTTATTAAATAGCACTTGTCATAAAAGAGTAATTTATTTTCCAAAAGTGCATTAAAGCTTAAAACAATGCATGGAACACACTTCTTTAACCTCAGAAATGTTCATTTCAAACAGTTCATGAAGCACTGTGAAATGTTTATGTGCTTATTTGATACATACATTAATGTTATTTAATGTGAATAAATTATACATGTACTGTACATTACATGCAAGGATATGTTCTAATAATCTTTTAGCAGGTTTCATTTTATACACATCGATTGTTTATGTCTTTAGCTCACACCATTAATCCCCATGCTGTCCCGCAGGTGGAGAATGAAGACAGATGACATGTTCCTTGTTACTCATCCAGCAAATCCTTTATGTCCAGCTACTCTCAGCTCTACCCCTGGTGATGCTCTTCCAATTGTGTGCCACTGCTTGGGGAACCACACTCACCATTAGCTAGTAACATGAAGCAAGTCTCAAACCTGCACCTCCTGGGCTATTAAGATCAGTCTACACTTTACACTTACTGTTTGAAAAACTCAGAAGTCCATGAAAATCTTTACCAACCATAGCTGTTTGTCAGAGTCTATTACATTCTTATTTTTACAACACTGCCAACTGAATGATTCAAAAGGCATTTATCACTAATAAAAATTAGTACTGTCTTCCTTCAATTATTAAGATTTATGGGACTTATAGGTCTATATTAGTATATACAGTATGAGAAACTGATGCAATAAAAAAGCTATATTTTAGGGACAAACCATGTCACTCTATTTTGTTGTAGAAATAATGAGCAAAAGTATGTTTATTATGGTGCAATGATGAAGCTCTAACAGCACATAAAATCCAAACCAATCACATTTGCAATTATTGCTTCTTCTTTATTCTTTAAAATATTCTTATATACTTAAATATTCTTAAAATAATTTAAAAATATCTTGAAATTACTTTGAAAAAATAAATAGCAACATAAAATTATTTCATTCAAATAACACTATTTATTGAATAGGACTTAAACATCAGTAACATTTACAATCAATTGCTTTTAGAAAAAAAATATTCTCTTAGCAGAAGTTTTAGAGAAGAGAAAACTTTTACTTTTTTTGTACCTGAGAGATACTGCATGAGGTCCATATATTTCTCTCACTGCTGCTAAATCAGCCTCAAGCTGTGGATGCTTGTGGAGTTCTCCATCATAGTTAACCTGGAAAAGAGACGGGAGATGAGATGACTGATGACGTTTCTACCTTAAAGTTACAAACCCTCCACACACACAAAAAACGCAACATGTGTAATTGAAATTGGCTAATTGTTTAAAAATCTTAAACTGCACTTCTTGTCCTAGCAGAGGATTAAAACAATAACAGTGTTTTAGTAAGCTTAAACAGAGCATGAATAGTTTTTAGTTATATACAGCACAGAGAACAGATAAGTTTGAAGCATTCTTAGCCTCGTTTGTAAAAATTACAAAAGATTGTATAGAGCTACAACATCAGTGCAGATATTACAGTTATTCAAAGTGCAACATTTATTTACCACCTATATCCATCTATACACAATACAGAAACCACCATCACAGCCTTGATTGATGCACTGCTGGACAAAACTCTTAATGTACGGATTACATCTTGCCATCTTACTACAGATCTTACTGGTCATTTTTGTCTGGTTTGGCATTGTCTTGAACTATCAATGATCTGTTTTTCTTGCCACATATCCAGCCCTTTGAAATTTTAGTCCCTCCACTTTCACGATGATGTCACACACTGTCAGTTCCGCGGTAACACTATAGCTGCATTGCTGAAGAACCTTATGTTCCAGAAAGCTCACATCATAATAAGCACTGATACAGCGGGAATTAGGAGGTTAAAGGGAAGATGATAAGACTATCATGATTAACAATTTGGTACATTGTTGTTATTTAAAATGCTATTTTATAAAATCCATTAAATTTTATCAACTGCACTGCACAAGCGCAGTATTCCTTCATTTTGTCACTGTTGGCAAGAATAGTCCGCAGCATGGACTCGGCAAATTCAGCTGTGCAAATGACACCATATTCTCTTGCTCCTCTCACACCACTTTTTCACATCACATTTTTGTTCCACAGTAATAACTATCTTTTTCTTCAGTACCACTACCACCACCAGAATGCTTCACATCCTTGCCACTCGTTATTTTAATCAATAAATCAATTACTGCACAAAACAAAAAAAATATACGTGGTATATCACAGTCCATGATAACATGGGAGATATGTATAGAAGCTGAATAAAGACTGACAATCTCAGGCAGAAATATGGTCCAGTTTACTGTGACTAGATTCTGTATTATTGTTTATACTCTAATTCATGCCTGCATTGTAAAAAAAAAAATACAATTATTAATAAATTCTGTTCTATACAATTTGCACTGTGGAAATGTATTACAGCAGAACTGAATGCTCTAACTAGGTTCTTACACATTCATTTTACAACATTCCATGCTTTTTGGATCATACAATTTTCTGTGAGTATAGATGTATTTAATCTATGGTATTTTATACATACATTGGATTCAGAGTACAACTTCACATCTATATGTTATTGCAAGCACTACATAAAGGTTGAAGTGTTTAAAACATTCCTTCAAGCCATCAGGTAATTTTCACATTTAGAAACACACACAGTCTTCTAAATCCAAAGCACCCCAATTCTTCTGTTTTTTTGGACAGCTGTTTTCTGTCAATTATATTGATTAATCCAAATACATGGAAGTGCTGTTCCCTTTTGGCTTTGGGAAATATTTTGGAGTTGGCCTGTTCAAAGAAATGAATAGTTAATAATATAATGAATAATTTATGGATAAGCTGCAGAATGTATCAATTAAATCTACTACACATACAAAGAGGATCATGGAGTACAGTATTTAGTTTTCATTATACCATTGTTTTTCATTTACTTTATTAAGCATCCTGTGTACTGCACATACTGTGCAACAAACATACAGATACGCATCTTAGACCTTTATTCGAACTGCAGTAATCATTGTTTTTCCTATCCTGCTACGTATGGGAAAACTGTCATTTTTCATGGTGAAAGACAGTGAAAAATGAGTCACAGAAAACTCTAATCAGCAAGAATTCTAAAAAAAATAGCTGTATAATAAGTTCTCTGTTGCGCCTTTTCAGATTCTGGATTATTTAGGGTAATTCACCATGATGCCAAAAGTCTTAATTGCATTCAGCAAGACAATTATTAATGTGCCTTCTGTATACCTTAATATTGCAAGTTCCCATAGGTAAACTTTTGCAAATTATATTTTTGCAATGTATTGCACCTGCTATTCAAAATATGTCTCCATTACAGAAAATTCAGGTGATTGGTCTGTTTGCTCCAAATATATGCACCGTAAAAAAGATCACTTTGACAGATCACTGACCAAAACAATGACATAATAAATCTGCTGCACTTTGACAATCAACTTTAATTTCGGAAAAATAAAGCTGTTGTATCTTTATATAAAATTGAAATGTGATGTTCAAAAACCACAATGCAATTTGCCTAAATTAAATTACCTAGATCTGATTTACAGAGTTAATAATATATATTATGTAAATTATATAGTTACAAACTGTATATATAATCATCTACTGTATATTCATATAGATACACATTACCTACAGTACCACTTCACATGCTTAGATGTTTTTTTAAATGTCTTGTGCGTGGAATTAAGGTGAAGTTAAAAAGGATCATTTTTGCAATTAAGTACTGATAAAACATAGTCCAAGCTATTAAATTTAAGAGTCTCAGGAGAATTATAAGAAATGAGTAGATACCAGTGGAAAAACCTATGTTACTGTTACAAACTGAAAGCAGTCCATCACAATTGATTTAAATTTATTAAATCAGCAGTCACTTGCCACATATTGCTATAAGAATTGCTGAAGTCAAAAACAGGATGAGAAGATAGTAAAGTCAGTAACTCTGCAGAGTCTTTACATAGCATAAGAGATGGATATGTGATGTCAGTGGGGGGGTTCACATATACAGACTTTTTTACACTCTGTTTAGATAGCAAGCCCATGTGGGTAACATCAAACTTGGACTCTTACCTTTTGCTATTCTGACAAACTGTAGCAAAGGCTTAGGATTCCGTATCATATCTAACTAAATGCCAATGGGGGAAAGATGGCATAGGACAAAACCATATTTGGGATTCTTCCAAAAAGTAACAGCACTTGCTTTCACATTTATCTGTTTAGAGCACTCATAGAACTTGAGAGAGAAATAAAATCTTCACAAAGCAGTTATTTAAAAAAATAAATCATCATAGAGCATACAGTATATTGACAATTTTATTTGATTTTTTTATTCTAGTTCCTCAAAAAAGCATTTTCATTCCAGTACTGTAGCTTTGGGGTGATTCTGCATAGCATAGTTTAACCTATATTTAACTGAGATTTTTGCTTCATAGTATGATTATGGTTATTGTCAAGTAGCAGTTGCAGTGCATGCATTTATTCATTAGTAAGGCCCTAAGTGTTGTATGCTGGCAAAAGCCTTCTTTCAACTTTCCACTCCTGGCATTTTGAAAAGGGCCCTGTTTACAGTATGTTTCTCCACTTCAAAAAATTATTACATAGCCCAGACCTGAACAAGCAGGCACAAGCTCCAAACGTATTGGACTGTCTTAAGAAGGTACACAGGGAATAATGCTATGTTTTTTGTTCATTTAGTCCAAATTCCCAGCGCTGAATTCTCACTTTAAAAAAGTACTCTATTCTCAGCTTTATGAATTTCCCAAAATCAATATTAAGAAGTAAACATCAATATAACAGGAAATACCCTCAGTTTCGAGGAAGGCAAAATCAATCTCAAATCTATGAAAGTTCTTTATTTAATGAGCAAGTAAAAGCATTTCTTCTATTTTCAGCATAGAAGTAAGCTTGACTTGTTCCTATGCAGCTAATGCACACTGACATGGCTCCCCAACTTGAACATCTTTATTTAATACAGAGCAAAAGCAGAGAATAACAGGAGTACTTATAATCAATGTTCCCTCTAAGCTGTGCGCATGTGTGCGTGCACACAGGTTATGAAATCAGTGTGCGTAGGAAATTGAACTGTACACAATCTTTTTTTTTAATGATAATAATAAAACAAACACGGTCGTCAACTGAAAACTGATAAATTGACCCCATGAGACTGGCTGCGAAAGGCCCAACTTGGCTGTGTGCATTATTATTGCTACTTGATAATCGATATCTATGCTCTCGTAGTCTTGTACCTCACTGCTCATGCTCGCTCGACACTCAGTCTCTATGACTGGGCTTGTTGAATCGCTGTCCTGGTCTTTTGGATCTTCATGCTTATATGAGGATGACTACATTAACACAAATAATTGAATGTTTACAATATTACATACACTCAATTTAGCACGCACACGTTTTTGTTACTGGGAAAAAAATTTGCACAACTTGAAATTTGTGCACACACAGGCCATTACAAATTAGAAGGAACATTGCTTATAATACAATTTTCTTACACTTTCAAAAAAAGTAACTAATATCAGTTTACTGGTGGTGCAGCCCACAAGTTATACTTTGGATGCAATTTGTACCCAATTTACATAAATGTTAGGCCATGACATACCAATTGTAATCATCTTACATTTTAAGATTTTAAAGCAACATAAATTTTAGAGAAGTAAAGAAAATATGGTAGATAGATCATTAAAATTAAAATCAGGATGCAATCTCCTTGAACTTTCTGACCTTTGACTTGTACCAAATATAAAATCTCCAAAATGTAAAAAAGCAATAGGAAGGCAAATAGAATGTTAGGTTATAAAAAGTAAAATAAATCAAGGAAAGTAATGTTTGGATTATAAACCAAGACATACATAAAATACTGTTTTTAGCTTTGATCATCTCACTTAAAATAGCCACTATTATGATTGAAAAAGTATAACAAAGGTCAACTCTGCTACTTGTAATAATATAATAAACGGCATGTGTTATTTGAGGGTCAGTTAAAAGAATGACATCTCGTAAGTGCAGAACAAAATCAGGTAAGGCTGATTTGGCTGAAATGCATAAACTCCTGAACATCCTACAGTAGGTGACCTGCAGTTACTTGTCAAAATTCAATATAAACACTAGGCCCAGGGAGAACCAATGGAAGACAAGTTTAAACAGGTCTAGAGCAGAACACAGGAAACATTTCTTTACACACAGAATTACAACATAACTCCTGGGTCTTAAAAAAACAGATAAAAGCCAGAGGCTAGCATTGTGCTAATAATGCATAAAACAATGCATTCAAATTCTCAAGCCCAACAATTTGCACATTCTAATATTTCTTACCTCATATCAATAATCTTTTTAGACATAAGTTTAAGCTGTACTGATAGGAACAGTAGATTCCTATAAATTAAGGAACAGGGAAGGAAAACAGCTTCTATAACAACAGAACAGGTACAACAGCAATGTTGGTATTGATCTGTAGGAGGTACTGTGAAATCTTTCATCACTGCATGAGACAAATATTCAGAACTATACCAACCTATACTTTTACAGATGCAGCTTTTCAGAATGCTCTAGGCATAATGTGCCATACCACAAAGAACTTGCCACATTACACCGCATGGTAATGGCCAACATCTTTTTATTTTTTCAAATTATCTGACACAGGACTGCACTACTTTGTAAAACCACCAAATTCTTATTTATTTAATAATAAAAATGTGTATAAATCCATTAATGCTTTCCTGAGCTAGTCATATTGTACAGTAACACTAACTGACCCTTTTGTTTCCTTTTCATTAAATCTAGTATATAGAATTATTTGTATTTGTGTATAAACAGTCATTAGAAAACCATTTTGATTTATTTATTTGGCTTTAGAAATGTTTTATTTAAAAGCAATATGTTAAAAGATAATCTGTAGTTTTTTATGACTCAGAGAATGATTTACTATACTGTAACCCTGTCAGTATGGGGCATTGGTGGTTCAGTTTAAGAATTCTGTAAGTCATGTGAAACGCCTGGGTTTGAATCCCAGCCAATGCCCAGCCTAATGGAGATAATTTTCTCCTGTAATAAAATTAACTTTGTATACTATATTGACATATTTAATAATTTTATACATACCAGTTAAATATTAAATTAATATTAAAAACAAATGTAGGGCTGTTTTACAAAAAAATATGAGTCAGTCAGATGTATAAAAACAGCTTTGTTATCTGTACCATGATGTTTCTTTCAGGTTTACATATACATTGAAATAATCTATATTTGTCTTAATGCTAATATAAGTAAAGGGTAATTAGGGAAAAGACACTTTTATTTTAGATTTTGATTATTAAAATAAATTATACACATACTGTAGAGGCTTTAAAACCATACAGTATCATACTTTATCTAAGAAAGAATATGTTTGAGAATGAGTCTTGTTAATGTATTTTGTGTAAAAAATGACATCTCAATCTTCAAAGTCACATGGAGCATGACATTTCAGACTTCTTTGTGTAAATGTCTTTCACGTATGAGAGGTTTCCCCCATCTGAGCCCAAAAACTAGCCCAAGATTTACTTGCATCTGAATGAACACTGTAAATGAACGAAAACACCGTAATGTGTTTGTTCTGTTTTAAATGATCAGTTTAGATACAGTTATGTTAGAATGAAGCCTCTGGACCTTTGTAAACTAGTTAGTCCGCTGCTATAGGCTGTTTTACTTTTTCTTTGTCACCAAATTAGAACATCAGGAGTTCTATAGAGGCTCTATGTGTGTGGACTGGACATATTTCTATAGATGCTCCTGTGGTTTTGTTTTCTTTCAAACCAATGTTGTTTAAAAGATGGCTATTTGTGACTTTCAGAAATTGTATTTAATTTTTATTACTTTTTATTACTTAAATACAGTAATATCTAATTGTATTTTAGAATGTGGTTACATTAAGATATAGCAAACAGATATAATTTTACTACTAATGCAAACACACAGAGAATACTGGTATTCCAATGCAAAACATTCATCTCCACCCTCAGTATTTTAGCAGCCATATCACTCTGCAATTCACAACTGGCGACACACTGAAGCTAAGCATGTGTGAGCCTGGATAGTACCTGGATGGGAGACCTCCTGGGAAAAAGTAAGTTGCTGCTGGAAGAGGTGTTAGTGGGGCCAGCAGGGGGCGCTCAACCTGCGGTCCATGCGGGACCTTTGTGCCCCAGTATAATGACGGGGACATTATTCTGTAAACAGAGCCGTCCTTCGGAAGAGACCTAAAACCGAGGTCCTGACTCCCTGTAGTCATTAAAAATCCCAGGGTGTTTCTCGAAAAGAGTAGGGGTGTAACCCCGACATCCTGGCCAAATTTCCCATTGGCCCTTACCAATCATGCCTTCCTAATAATCCCCATCTATGAATTGGCTTCATTACTCTGCTCTTCTCCCCACTAATAGCTGATGTGTGGTGAGCGTTCTGGCGCACTATGGCTGCTGTCGCATCATCCAGGTGGATGCTGCACATTGGTGGAGGTGAAGGGGAGTCCTCATTACCTATAAACCGCTTTGAGTGGAGTGTCCAGAAAAGCGCTATATAAGTGTAAGCAATTACTATTATTATTATTATTATTATTATTATTATTATTTATATAAATCTCAATATAGTATACTCATTATTTTATTTTAAGTGTATATCCAGTTTAAATACTAATACAATACGTGTACAAAAGAGAACAATATTTAAAAGCAAATACTGGAAACATGTTGGTCAGATATGGTATAACCCATAACTTGTGTCACCAAATCTTTTTTCACATTTCCACTGTCATACAGCTCTGTGATGTTGACCCAACACCACCCAAGATATAACTTTATTTTTTTATTTATATTATTACTTTATTTAACTCTATTTCAGGGTGTGACATTACCACTTCTTTTGATCACAATATCCTAAACAAACAATTGTGCTGTTTGAAAAAGTTCTTCCAGGGCTGAGGTATTTCATTAATGATTTAGTGAAGTGTGAATAACATATGGCAAACCAACAAACACCAAACATTTACCAAACCAGACTTTGTTTTTTTAGCTGTCTCGTGATTATTGCGTTACTTATATAAACTCTATAGAAAAGTCTTTTTTTTACATTCATACATGTTACATTTTAAGTGCACAGTACAAAGTAGCTATATACAGAATGTAGATAGAAATTGAATGTATACTAAAATTAAAAATATTGTCAATGCTATGAGCTATTATGACATGCCAGTTAAAGCTTTTGTGTAAGAAAAAGCAATCATTTGCTAATATTCTCTTTTTAAGGCTGAAACAGGAACTTTTCTGGTTACAGTATGGTATTGGAGACCGATTTAATTTTTACTGTTCACACTAAAACTACCCCTTTCTTTCACTTCTCCAAGGGGGGAAAAAGGCAGGAAGATTCAAGGGAGATGCAAACACACTTCTCTAAATAATAATCAATTACTGCATTTGCAATTCATTAATCAAATAAGGGTTGGAAAGTTAGAGGTGGGGAATACTTAGCCAGCCACCCCCATCTAAACGTGTCTTTAATAACAGATGCTTGCTCCTATTCTTTGAGATTCCTGTGGTTTATAAAACTCCCATTGTGCACACTGAGAACAAAGGAAGAAGATCTGCCTCACTGCTATCTTCAGTCTGATTCATTTTTGGGACTGTCCTGGCCGCTTGCCTCTGATCATAAGAGTATCCATGTGGCATTCTCTGTGGGGTTCTTAACTGACTGTTTTTGAAAAACTGTCTGCTTGCACCCTAGGCTGAAATTTGCAGTCAATTCCATTGTGGTTGCTTGCCTGTTTTGCCTTGCACGTCTAATTAATAAATGGATATCATGATCCTGGAGTATGCACTGCAGTATACCCACTGCTGCCCTTTGCTGATCATAATTTTCTCTTGGAGTTCCATAATAATTAATAATAATTATTGATATTAATAATAATTATCCAGAATAATTATTATGTATCTCTAAGAAAGATGACATCACAAGAAATGATAATGAAATTACCTTAGAAACCACCGTTCATGAAACATCCGCAAGTTGAGTGGTCTTGTAGATTGGAATTCCTGCTAAATGTGCCATACAGTAGCAATCACACCACTTGCAGCCATGCTAGCCATAATTATACAGCAGGCAGCTAGACGTATCCTTTAATACAGCATTAATACAGCATCTTGCTTTTAATACTTGGTGACAATCATTTACCCAGGTGTTTCCAAGTTTTTGTCCTCTATTAATATGGATGCTAAAATTGGAGTCAACTAAGTATTTATTTATTTTGGATACTTTATCAAATAAATCATCTGACCACTATAGGTTTAACTACAAAGCGCGAACGCTATTAAACAAAGATTATAAGCCAAAAATATAAACTCTTTAATAAGCTTGATGTGTGCGCAGCAACTACACACTATTACAAAGTCACAGTCATAAGAGTGAGGTTAGATGTGAGTTGATCTTCAGCCCACTCACCTGACCACCGTAATAAAATTCTTCTGAGTCATTGTCCCCTTCAGAATCTTCCTCTATGGCATTATGGCACTAAAAGACAAACATAAGTGATTAACTCCCACACAGATCTAATAAATATCAGATATAAAATGCAGAACATAATTGTTAAACATATTAATAATATATAAATATCCATTATTTGCCTTCTTTATTTATTTTGGTACTTTTAAGTTATGACTTCAAGTAAATGGTAAGAAATAGAGAATGTTAATTATTCCACAGAAATAATAACACCAACTAAAATTCCAAAAGGAAAGTGGAGTTGAAGCTTTTCAGTTAACAGCTGATTAGAATTATAATCTGAAATATACTGGAAAACCAATACTTCACAATTACTGTACTGTTTGCATGTTGTCAGAGAAAGTAAGACATCAATTCATATGTATATATTAAGAGAAATCAATGTTATAATACACACATTTTGAGGGAGGCTAATAGTTATTTTAAACTGCTCTACCAAAGCCAATTAAATACCCCAAGTTCACTTCAGACAGAACAAGTCACAGCATCCGTTCCTCTAGATTTTCTGAGATGACTGTAGGGAAACAGGATCATTCAGTATGTTTTCATAAGACATAAAATATGCCATCTGTCAATTTGGTTCAATAGTTTTGTGTTCATAACTGTGTTGGTGTTTTATTTGCTAGTCACTCCCTGCAAATCCTGAAGACTGTCTAAATTGTCACATTACTGAGGTTTGCTGCTTCTTGTGAGTTCTTATACATTATAATTATTTCCAATGCCACAGCACACAAAGGACATACCACTTGCTACTTTGAACACTACATTGAACAGGATGGGTCTTCTCCAGTGGAACATAGTGTTCTATAATATTTCTGTATAGTAGTAACATGAAGAGCTGATCTCTGCCTGAGAGGTACAGCTTGAACATGACATGGCACATATTTCACAAGGTTTGGAAATATTTACAGCTTAATCCCATCCCATTCTTCCTGCAAGATCATCTTCATGCAAAGTTGTGGTGATGGTAATTAGGTGTGACACTGAGCTCCATGTTTCCCATTTTTTTTAAATAGGACTGAGATCTAAAGATTACACTGACCAGGAGAGGTGACAAAAACCTCATGCTCTTTAGGTCAACCAGACATTGCCTTTCTCTTAAGATGTATAACACCTGTACCTCTTTTTACAAACATAATTAGCTCCCCAAAAACCTTTGTATAGTGAATATTTGTAAAAAAGACCTCTTTCCATTATTTTTTATGGAGAAAAATTATAATCTTTCCAAACTCCATAAAATGACACTCCTACTATGTCTAGTAAAAAAGGATACACTTTTTCTATGACAAAAGAAACAATAATAACATTCATATTGTCGTTTCTGTTTTTAGTAATAAAAAACACTGCTTACCTAAATCATTAATCATACCTAAGTACTGTACAGTAACCACTCCATTTGCTTTTGTATAATTACACACACATACTCACAAATTTCATTTTCTTAACGCCTTAAGGTTCTATGATAAAGGCTAAACCACAAATATAAAATATTAATTTTGTATAATAGAAAAATATACAAAAACTAAGAGTGCACACAACAGAAAACAACACACTGCAAGATGCAGTGAACTGTATCAGATGTCTCTTCTGCCATTCTGTAGGCTCTGTGCTAGCTCTCACCCATACTAGTTAGTACAATGTGATGTGAACACTCAATATCAAACGAGTCGTATGACACCTTCCTCTTCACTCTCTACCATTTGACGGAGGGTTTAAAATTTTTCTTTATAGTTTTGAAGTTGGCTTTTGTTATTTAAAATGTGGATAACAGTTCACATGCTTTGCAATATTGAATTTTAATAAAAAGTAAATTTGTAAAAAGAGGTATGGGTGTATTCATTTCATTGGGGATTCACAGTCTTCCAGACAGTGATCATATCTGTGTGTCTTACAGAATTACAGGTCAGTTTTCTCACCTGGGTCCTATCATTCTGCTTCAGTTTGATGGATAGGCAGCTGGTGGCATCATTGCTTATTCTAATTTCTGTGAAAAAAAAGTGCAAACATGAAAGGAGTAGGTCTCTCATTAAAATTATTTTAAAATCCTCTTAATTCATTTCTAAAGACCTTTTGATCAATATAAATATGATCTTAGGAGTATTCACTAATACCATTGGTTATTTATTGCTTAACACCAGATAACAAAAATAAGACAGATTATCGTACACACGTTTCAAGTTTTATAAAACAATGTGTTTTGAAAAACAGTTTACCACTGAGAATCAATGTTACATCACATTTTATTAATTCCCTACAGCCCGCAAGCCAGACAAGCTGCCACCTGGCTATTCCCTAGAAAGAATATATAATTCAACAAGTAACTTCTAAAATAAATCTTACCTTTTAGAAAAAAATATCACAATGAACCTTTAGAGTATAACTTTATTGAACATATAACTTTTTATTTGTGTAGACACTCTCTATTTACAATACACTCGAAGAGAAAACATCATAATTACAGAGAAGTTTAGCTTTGAAATATTTTTAAACAAAATGTTAACCTAAACATTCTATTTTATTTTACAAGAGTAAACAGTATATATAATGTTAATTTTGTATTTTTAAAAATATAATTATTTCCAAGTATATTTTTATGGGTAGTGTAAATACGAATATTTGTAAAACGGCCTTTAAATTTAGCTTTGGCTATAAGAATATAAGACAGGTTCCAAACAAGAGGAGTATGCATCTAACTTATGTTGTTGATGTTATCCAGCTGTTTCTTAAAAGCCATAACTTTAACAACATGGCTGAGTAGCTTGTTCCTTACTCCAACATTGCTTTGGGTAAAGAAGTGTTTTCTGTTCTTGATTTGAACTTGATTTTCCACTTGTTATCTCTGGTTTATGGTTAACTGTTCAATCTGAAGTACTTTGCTACAACAACTTTGTCAGTGCCTTTGAGGATTGTGAACACCTGAATCTGGTCTCCTCATAATCTTCTATATTCAGAACTAAAAAGGTTCAGTTCTTTAGTCTGTAAGACATTTCTGTACTGATTCCTGAGCACAATTTTCTTTGTGGGGACCAAAATTACACACGATATTACATGCAATATTCTAAATGAGGTGTTACTGTCTTACATAACACACCTTGATTTAAATTCAACATTTTTAACCAATATGCTAAAATATAACACATACTTAGATCAACAGAAGCCTTTAATAAATTCCCTCATAAAAGAATAAATCTTAAATTTCAGTACAGGCAACCTTTCGCATATGATCTACAAGCAGAAGAGAGGTATTAACACGCATCTTTTCAATAATAAAATCTGCCTATCAACAGTCCTAGTAAAGTAATGAATATTGTCTAGTCCTGCAATGGTATCAAACCATTGTCTAGTCCTGCAATGGTATCAAACCCCATTATTTAGCTTATTCCTTCCACGGGTTCTGTGAACAGGTTCATAGAAACACAGATAAGGAGCTAATGCTCAAAGTGGAACAAATGTAATGACAGGAGCATCAAAGGAATCTGTATTGGTATAACCTGGTATAATCTTCTTAATTTATATCAATGATTGAAACTCCATTATAGTTAATAATTTACTAAACTATACTAGTGACATGGCTGTTTCTGCTGGTTTGCATTCCCACTAAGATCTAAATCTCTTGATCTACATTGTGCTTGTTCTTTTGGTTCAGTTGTTTCTGCCAAAGGTACAAAAACATCCAACCATTCTCTTACTTTTTCCAACAACTTCAGCATACTGCATTTTAAGAAGCCTTTTTTTTCTTATGAACGTCCAGTAAGTTACATTTCCGTCATCACTCCTGCATAAGTAGAGATGAGCTCAGTTCTACCAATTAGCCATAAATCGATTAGAAGTTGGTTTGAGAAGTAACTAGAAGAAACTGTGGTCCCTCACCACCAGGTATGGAAACCACTACTCTAGATAATATGTCATTAAAGCCATTAAACTCAGTTAAACATGGCATGGATTTGCTCTTACATTTAGGAAAAATATACTTGCCACAAGAGTAAGTCTGGTATCCTTTCTGCTAAACCCTTTAGCAAATTTAGAAGCACTCACGATCAGAAATTTCAGCTACATAATATTAAACATCTACAGGCAACACTTTTCATCTGTGGTGTCCACAAAGAGTCTTTATTTTTTCTTTAGCAAGTAATTCAGATTTTATTTTCCATGTCTTCATCTAAATGAAGGATTGGCATTAAAAACTGATTCAAATTCAGGCAATAGCATTCAGTAATTTTTCTGATTTGAAGTCTTCAAAAAAGTATTTCTGCTGCTCTGAGCATAAATTTCACTGAAGATGCTGCTAAAGTGATTCTGTTTGTTGCTGAAATGGCACAGTACTGGAAGATGACAGATTAATCTTGTCTTCCTGTTTTTATAAAAAGCAGTCAATGATAAGACCACAACAATGTTTAATCTATTGACTGACGTAATGGAACTTGGTTTCAAAGCTTTGCATACTTATATTGGTATTTACTAGGTGTCACACTATTGGCTAATGGTAACAATACTTTTTTTGTGATCGGTTGGTATATAAAGACCATCTACTGTATATACAGTATACTTCAAAATCTTTAAAATATTCCAAAATAATTTGGCAAAGGTAAAGCCTTTCTAAGGCTTTCTACCTGGTGCACACAGAAGCTAAATCGTTCTGTGGTTCTATCACACATATCCCATACTTTGTTTTTCCTTGCATTTTTTCCCTTTCATGATTTACCCTACTTCTCCATGTTTTTGAAGAATCTTAGAAAATAAGAACAGTTACATTGAATTTTATATGGCCTACCAAATCAAAGTATTAATTAGTACCTAGCTGCTCCAAGGATCCCGTCCCTTCACTTTTTGAAAGAATTCAGGATATCAACTTTCATAACATGGCTAGGGTACTTATTCTATACCTCTATTCTATACTGTTCTTTATAATAGCATCTTGGCATACATGATTAACTATTTTTTCAAAATGGCCACAATTTACCTTCAATTCCTTCACCGTGATACATACAGAAGCAGCCATTCAAAATGCACGGTAAAACCCTGTACCACGGGAAAACATCTACAGCCTACCGCGGTATGTCACTGGCTGGCCAAAATGGCAGTAGCTGGTAGTGGTAGTTTAAATAAAAAATACACAGAAGCATCCCACTTTCTTTATAAACATTTTATGCATCAAAGTCTTTCACTTGGTCACTTATTGTGGTTATTATGAAAAGTTTTGACGTACTCATTTTGACAATATTAAGTTTACATACTTTATAAAAAGCTGTAATGATTTAATTTTTTCTATGAATACTTGCGCTCGTAATTGCAGTAAAAAACTTATACTGCTTAGAATCCTCTTAATATGGAATATAATATGGAATCATATATCTAAAGAAATGAATAATGATATTAATTTAAAGATCTAAATGTAACATTTTTATAGATCAAAGTATTACCGTATTCTTAAACATCTGCATCAACTTCTTTCACTCATTCGCTCATGACTATGTTTCAGCACTCTCTCAAAATGACTGCTTGAGAGAGTGGATTAGACGCATACCTTTAAACCCAACGGCCAGTGTTTGATTCCCACTCAAGGCACTTGTTTCTCTTGCAACAAAAAAGGTTATTTTTTAAAAGAAAGTAGTAAATATTATGTACATTATATTGACATTTTATTTTTATATATCACAATGTGTTCAATAAATACATTGAAAATATAAATGAGTAAATATAAATACTCGCAACAATGGGAGTAAAAAAAGAGTTCAACCGGTTCAATCCAATTAAAAAATACTGGATCCCAATTCTAGACAAGCCTTTACAACAAGTCTGAAAATGAAACTGTAGTGAATGCAAGTTCTTAGGCTTGTGCCCTCGTTGCTCCTGCCCCAGTTTGTCCCTCACCGCATGGTCTCAAACCCGGGTCTCCGGCATCACTCAACAGGGGTGTTGCCCACTGAGCTGGAGAAAGCCTTCTCTGCCCCGGGCAGCCAACATCCCTGTCATGTGCGGGGGAGGGCGGTGACATCGCTGCGCTGCCCCCGTCTTTTACAACATGTACTGTATGTCGGCCATTCCGTTACAATATATAATTATAATCGAGAATAACAAAACGATATTTAAAAATGGCACCGAACTATAAAACGTATCTGATCATTATTAACAATATTAAATTATTAATAATAATAATTTCAAACTGTGTGTTGTTCAGGGTCACTTGTCGTTGTTCTCACGACCTTCGCTTTCTTAAATTCCTATTTTTGAGACAGGATGCTTCAGATGTTAATAACTCTGCCAGCAAATTGCACAGAGCCTTCAAACCATTTTTTTTTAAGATTGCAATTATGAAAATGTTCACAGCTCTTATTTAAACAATATCTAGTACCAGGTTGCATATTTAGAAACCATAGTTTGAATAAAGCAGGTCCCATATGTAAGTGAGCTCATAACGCGAGAAGGCATTAGGCTACATTTTTATGCATCAAACGTTCAGAAGTCTCTCAGAAACATAAAAATCTAACATAATATTGTATGGCACGATGGCTGACTGATTCTTTCAATTTTAAAGAAAATCAAAAATAAGAAACAATAATGTGTGCCTGCCTAAATTAGACATTCATGTGGGTAGCTGCGTCAGCATGCATAGGCTGCAGAGGTACAAGTTATAGGTTTATTCCATGCTGAAAAAAAGAAGAAAGAGAACACAACGTTTCAGCTGGGAGCCTTCTTCAGCCTCCTTCTTTACATCTGAAGAAGGCTCCACAGCCGAAACGTTGTGTTCTCTTTTTTCTTTTTTTTCAGCATGGAATAAACCTATAACTTGTTCCTAAATTAGACATTGCGTGACTTTAAAATCCATAAAAACTGGTTTAGTTAAAAACACTTTTTCTGCATGAAAAACTGGTGATTTTTCTTCCCCGCGATCAGCTTAGAATCTTAGTGTAAACTGTAATTTCTTTTAAAGTTTTTAATTAAACATTTTAAACACTTTAATTTTGTAAATGCAACATGCATTCCATACAGAAAACAATCATGTTTTCCACTGCTGTTAAGCAGATCAGCAGGTTGCTGACAAGATAGTGCACTGCCCACTAACCATAAACAGTTTTGCAGCTTCTAAATAAAAAAAATATAAATGTTTCGTCTATACAAATACCACAGACTATTCTCGATCATTTTTTTCTGGATATCACACTTAGTTCAATATTTTATTTACATCTAAATAAGAAAGTCATCAGGTGTTAGCATAAACTATTAGTAATCAATATTATAAAAATTCACAATGTAATAATTTGTTACACTTCTTCGACATCTTGTAAAAACATTAATTTACCAGACTTTGTTCAAATATACGTTGAATCTGACTATCAGAAAATAAGTAAAATACAAACTTATAAAGTAAAAAAAATTTCTAATATAATTTGAAATTAAGACAGGATTCACTTTTTTCTATATGTGTCTCTTCCTACTCTCTCACACCCCCTTTGATTCAGACACAAAAATGGGAGGGACTGTTTTGTGCCAGCCAGCGCATTATCATCTCACACCAGGGGGAAGGGGAAAAATGCTGGTAGTGCTTGTGTCATTTTATTTCAGTCTTCATCACTCTGCCCAACCCCCCCATTCAAACGGGTGCAGTGTGTTAACAAACTCTCCTTATCAGAGCCACTTGTAAAAGCAAGGTGACTTTCTATTAATTTTAAAAAAGCTTTCTTATTTAATCTCCTATTTTTGAGACACGATGCTTCAGATGTCAGTACCTCCACCAAAAATGATACAGAACCTTCAAACCACAGACATTTTAACATTGCAATATATGAAAATTTTGTAACTTTTATATAAACAACATCCTGTGCCCGGTTCCATTTTCAAAAACCTTATTTTGAATAGAGCTGATCCCATGTGTAAGCGAGTTCATAAATCCAGAGTTACCATCTCTAAATCTGCGAAACACCTGACCATATACTGTAAAGCTTTCAGTGCTTTGTTTGTGTATATTCCAATACACTGGCGGTTTTATACATTTTTCACTTAAGCGTATGGAGGAGTGTCAGATGTCAAGGAGATGCCCCCCACGGACAGACTAACAAAGCAATTGGGAAGTTTATTAACCACCCATTGCAAAGGGTGCAACCACAAATAAATACAGTTAAACTTTTTTCTTTTCCTGATCAGAATTGTAACAAACTGTCGTGTTTCACTTCCTTGCGTAACAATCATGACGTTGTCACCCAAAACAAGGTTTGATTTTTTTTTTTATTTCAAAACCTTGGCTGGTATGCTTCACTGACTCATTCATGGAGTAATTCAAACAAAAGAGCTACTGGGCGCACCGTGATCTTGACATGCAGGTGTGAAGTAGAGTTAACAGCTTCAGTTTTAAAAGGTTATTAATAATTTCTTCCGTATCACATTAACATTGGAACATTCTTACAAGTGTAAATAGAGGCGATACACAACGAGTCCCCCAGAGCCACACACCATCGTCCAACATTGCTCTTCTTGTGTCTAATTTCCAGGGGGTAATCGCGGTTACCAAAGGGAACAGTGCATCGGTCCTTGATTGTGGTTAAACAGTACATATGATGTCTGTTGGAGTTTCAGCATCACTTTTCTGTAATCTGTTCAGATGTCTCATCAATGTTTGGTTCAAATAAACAGGGGGACTTAACGGACTTCATCTATGAACTAAACTGCACTCCAGTAAATGTACAGTTTATCACCTTCTGCAACATTTCTAATTTAGAAGAACTTGCACGATAAGCACATTGTTTAACAGGGATGGCATTACCCATGTCTATATCTCTGTATGCCACAGGTGAGTTGGAGTGTCTGTTAATAAAACAGAGCACCTTCTATTAAATTTAACTACTGTATGATTTCTTTTTCTGTTTCAGCAAAATGAGGGGAGTAAAAAACCAAATGAGTCATGATCTCAGAGTTTAATTAGCGAGCACTTTGGTTTAAAATATTTTACGTCAACATCTAGACTGTACATAAGTCACTGGCTCAGTTAAAGGTGTAGCACATCTTCAATGTTATGGTACATTTTTAACATATTGATAAACTGTTCTCTGATTACTAGCAGTTGTAAATATAACCCTTCTTCCCTCCTTCGTTTAACTTAAAGAATTCAGTGAAAAAATCCTTAACAAATTATAATAATTCATCCAGATACACACACTCGTGCCAGAGCCAATTTTGCCAGAAACAACCTTTCAGGGTAAGTCTCTGGACTGCACAGTACTGTACAATACAATATACGGGTTGGCTGATTACTGGCTGCTGAAATTTGGATTAAGACAAAATATAGATTCTCCCAATTTGGGTGTAAACCTGAAAGAGACACATACTATTTAGCTATAATAGTAAACTATTTTTTTAATATATTAGACTATGTAAGAAACAAAATGAAAGTAATTCGTAGATGGGGCTTTGAACTGCCTGGGTGCAGCGCGCTACATTACAGTCCATTGGCCTATACCACTATAAGGACACTTATGGTCCATTTGTGATATTTTAGCTGCTTGGATACACGATTCAATATGAATATTATTATCCAGTGTTACTAAATCAGTATAACATGTATCTTTTTACAATAACAACAAGTGGTGTTCTTACTATGTATTCTAAGAAAAGGATAACATGTTTTAACTTTTTATGAAGTACAGTAAATAAGCTTTATAATGTTAGAACAAGCACATTAAAACCACAACTCACTGTAAGATACCAAGTTAAAGTCTTTGATGCATAAAGTATTTATGCATAATTAAAATATTTATGACGAAGGTGGAGGGTTATGTACTTTTGTCCAACAAAGCAATCTTGCTTTTATAAAATATTCCGACTTTTTAAACAGTTTAATGTTTAACATGCTGTGATAAACTTAAAATTATTAAAAGTCTAAATAGTATACACCGTAAATTTTGTCATTGGAAAAAAGATTATGCCTCAGCATTGACCGGAATGATAACCTCAGGCTGTCAGGCTTGGAAACCACACCTCCGGCACACTAACTCTGAACACTGGGGTTCCCCAGGGGTGTGTGCTTAGTCCATTACTCTACTACCTCTATACCCATGACTGTAAGGCCAAACACAACACCAACTCCATCATCAAGTTTGCTGATGACACCACAGTTGTTTGTGATCAGGTCTGATCACAAACAATGATGAGAGGGCCTACAGGGAGGAGGTCAATCTTCTTACAATGTGGTGTGAACAACCTCACCCTCAACGTCAGCAAAACCATTGATTTCAGGAAACTGCAAACCGGACATGCCCCTATCCACATCAACGGGACTGAAGTGGAAAGGGCCAGTAACTTTAAATTCCTTGGCATCCATATCATCGAGGACCTCACATGGTCTCTCAACACCACCTGTCTGATCAGAAAAAGCGCCTGTACTTCCTAAGACGGTTGAAGAAGGCTAAGATATGTCCCCAGATCCTCACTAACTTTTATAGATGCACTAAAGAAAGCACACTGACAGGTTGCATCACAGTGTGGTATGGCAACTGCAGTGCTGCTGACCGCAAAGCCCTACAGCGGGTGGTGAAACTGCCCAGTCCATCACAGGGGTTGCCCTCCCATCTATACAGGACATTTCCGACAGACGGTGCTTGAAGAATGCTCTAAGCATTATCAAAGACCCCACACACCCCAGCTACAGACTTTATGATCTGCTACCATCTGGAAAACGGTACCGGAGCATTCGGGCCCGGACTACCAGACTCAGAGACAGTTTTTACCCCCCACTATCAAACTATTAAACTCCCAGCCTCTCTGACTCTCACCTATGATCTGAACCTCACAGTGCCTTCTTTCTTTCTTACCAAAAACCCAAACACACATTGAAAATCTACCTCTACCATACATGTCAAAAGCTCACTACCCATAATTTTTATCCCTTTATTTAATTCTGTTGATGCATGTTTTTGCACATAACCTGTTACCTTTTTGCTGTTTTGCCTCTGTTGTCTCTGTCTTTCTTTTGTTATACAATTGTATTGTTGTTGTTGTTGTTTTTTCTTTGTACTACTTATGTCCGAGAGCTAGCTAAATAGCATTCCGTTATACCATATACCTGTATATGAGTATAATGACAATAAACTTGAACTTGAACTTGATTCGAAACGTTTTCTGGCAACAGCCCAGATGCTGACATTAACCTTTCCCATCTCCACCTGGTGGTTTTGCAAGGTATTTCACCCTATTTAATAAATATATATATATGTCATGCTACAATTTCTGGTAACAATACTACAGCCCCCCAAAAAAATTAAAATGAAATCGCCTGTACCACAAATAAAGGGTCTAATCAAAATGAGATTATTCTACAGTCTACAGTTTATACTTACCTGTTGTTATTCTGTGGAAAATAACTGGGATAGGATCTCTTGTAACTAGTACATCGTCATCATTCTCAGAATTAGACAAATATGTGTTATCTAAAAAAAAAAGGAAACGTTAGGAATTTGCAAAAGCGTTTCAAAATAAAAATGCATGTGCTCAGAAAAAATCAACTTACACATAAAATAATTAAATATTGAATTGAAAAAATAACAATATATATGTATAATATTTGCAATTTATTACATTTTTGAATGTCTTTGAATGGTAAAAAATAAAGTTACAGGTGAAAACAACATTTTCAAAATGTGCTAATTACAAAAAGATGTCTAGAACAACTTGAAATATAAAAATGTTCAGTAATTTAGGTATTATTGTTAAGTACCATAGACTCTTTGACAGGGAACGTGATAAGATACTGTGCATGGGAAGCTAAAGAAAATTATGGTTCACAGTTTGCTGCAGAAAGAGAAGGTGAAGGTAATTTACCCCCTGAAAGGTGGAAGATGAAGGGATAGATCTCCAGCTGTGACCAAGACAGCCAAAATACTGGAGTCCATCTGAGCTAAAGAAATTAGCCTTCATTTTAAACACATCCCAGGTTTTGTATTTTCCTAGACACTATCTTAAGATTGGATTTATTTTTCCTCTAGGGATTTTGAATAGTATCTCCTTTAGCGAAAATAAAAATAGTACTCATCATTAGGTCTGAAATGTATGTTTTTTAACTTTCATTAGCAAATTATTTAAAGTAAACAAACATTTGAGCTTAATAAGCTACTGTTTGTATTTTTTGAAACTGGCATACAAATCTGCATACAAAGACTGGTGTGTCTAAAGACTAGACACCTGAGAGTTCTGGAAAGGGGTGTTATTGCTTTTCAGGTCTTCTTTTTTCTGAATAATATAATAATAACAGCAGCTTTATGGGACATATTAAATAATTACTCATTTTAAATAATATATATACATTCTCCACATTCTTTCATTAACAGTAATATTATTTGGAAATCTCCATTTCTGTAGAATTGTAACTTTTATTTCTGAGAAACACAAAACCAGAAGAACAAAAAACAAACCACGTGCCTTCCACACACGGTTTTGACAACACCACCTGAAGAGCCATAAATTACATTTTTCTCTGACTTGAGGACTTTGCTCAGCAGAGTGATTTACCAAATACTGAATCAATAATTATGTTGTGATATGTGTATGTGTCCATTTCATGAAGAGCATATTATCTTGATTTAATAAATCAAAATTTGTTTGGAACACCAGCTGTCCACTGCTTCTCTTTGAGAGCATCTGAGGACCCTGTTCCATTGACGACATCCAAATCACTGGGCTGTCGGGCTTTTTTTGATTCTCGTTCTCTCAGCCCGAAACAACTCTGTGCAGCAGCAGCCTGGATTAAACTCAAATTCTTACAATCCCTGCAGCTACATACACTTTGAGCAGTAATGAGGCAAAATAACTTTGTTCTGGCAAAAAAATAATTTGAATAGAGCTGTGAAGTCAAAGCCTAGCACTAAAGGAAACCTGGCACAGCACAGAGTTCTCAGGGCAAAAATATGCCAACAAATACAAACTTTGTAGAACAAATACCTGAGCGGTGAAATAATCTTTATCAAATAATACTATAGCATTGCCTTGGTTGTTTCCATGTTTACATTTTTATTTTCTTTCAAATATGCAAATACCTTTTGTTGTTTGTAATTTAGTATTGTGTTGAAAGTTTTTTTTACTTTTTTTAACTTGAGAGGAGCTGATAAAGAAACAGAACCTTCTTTATCAAGAACAGAGAAGCAAAAAAGTATCCAAGACAATTTACCCTACAACAACACAGACCAATTTCCCAGAAACCAAATTATCTTCCAATATGTTTTTGGACTAGAAGAGAGAACAGGAGCAGCCGGAAGACACCTGAGCGAATATACAAACTCCACACAGATACTGTAGCACCCCAGATACGGAATTGAACCCAGGGCCTCAGCCCTGTGAGGCAGCAATGCACTGTACTACCATGCTGCCCATTAAATGGAGAACATTCTTTAAAAAAAACAGTTGCAAGAGCAATTTGAAAGAGGAAATACAGCATGTGACCAACATGGTTAAACCACAGGCCACTGCAACAGACTTTTTTCAGTAAAATAGGACGAGTGATCAGATATTAGTATGAAGAGTAACACAGGCATTAAAATAAAACATTATTGAGTTTTATCTTTAAAATCCACCTGCTTAAAAAAAATCAGCAAACACCCTCTTAATCACCTAGTACAAGAATAACTAACAATTTGTTATATTTGGACATTTATCTTTTAATCATTACTTCGTATTCATTTAGTGAAATCAAGAAGTTAAGACAAAAAAAGGCAGGTTAAAACTAACAAATGGCATTTTCTCTCAGTTCCAGAAAATGTGTTCAGGTGAATGGGCTAAACACCACATTAACAAATACAAACACTTGACAGAACAGAATGGTTTAAATGCTTATGTCTGCATTAATCTGTCAGTACTATACTAGACTACAGGTCAGGATGATAAATAAATGGAATTTTACTATTGGAATAATAGTTTTAAGAATTCATTACAATACAGGCAAGACACACTTTCAAACAAATTGCTCCTTTTATGCTCTACATTAGTGGAAAAAAAAAGTCTAAAATAAGGCTAGTTTTCCAGTGTACTGGGAATGGGTCGGTGTACAACAACAAGTTATGCTATCTCATTATCCACCTAATAGAAAAGGGGAAGGTACTGAATTTCCTCTTTTTAGAAAGGTTACAAAGGCTATTTGGCCCATCTAGCTTGTATGGTAATTAGTAGCTGAAAGATCCAAGGAACTCATTCAACCATTTCTTAAAAGAAGCCAGGGTATTGGCTTCAAGAACATGGCTGGATAGTTGTTTGTTCCATACTCCCACAACCCTTTGGATAAAAAAGTACCCTCTATTCTCGGTTATCAATGAGCTTCCATAGTTATCACTAGTTTCATTTTTGTAATCCAAGCAGAAGAAGAAGGAAACATTTAAGTTTAACTTAGAAACTTTTCACATCAAATCTTTTCACTTACAACTTTTAATGTACAAGTACTTGCATTTGGGAAACTACTTTTACTCTTTAAAAAAATACTCTGTTTTTTAATTCACTAAATACCTGTAATACCTGCATTATCGCAAAATTTTTGACAACTTTTCCCATCTATAAAAGACAAAAGCACCTTCCATGACACTTAAAAATAATTATTTTGAGGATCTACACTACAAATGTTAATTCCCTGTGCTTTGTATAGCAATATGTTAATTCCCAATCTACCTCAAAACACAACACTCAGGTAGAATCTTACCTGAGACTATTCTGCCTAACTTTTTTTCCTTTTTACACAACTGGTTTTGTGTGCTTGACAACAATATCACTTTTGAAGCGAAAGACAGAACAACAATAATTATTGTTATTGCAATTGGTATAGACCATGATCTTAAACACTATTAATCTGAAACCATAAATCACTCAAGGTGGGACAAAAAAACATTCTTTTATCAAGGTGGTAGAAATATTTATATTGCTGTTAAGAGCTTAAACAAACACCCGCTGCTATTAACATTGACGGTATTCTCCCTAGCAGTAATTAAATCCCTTACACTACCACCAGCAGCTATATCACCCTGCAACTCACAACTGGCAACCCACTGTGAGTGTGTGAGTCTGTGAGTGTGAGTCTGGTCAGTACCTGGATGGGAGACCTCCTGGGAAAGCTAAGGTTGCTGCTGGAAGAGGTGTTAGTGGGGCCAGCAGGGGAGGCTCACCCTGAGGTCCATGTGGGTCCTAATGCCCCAGTATAGCGATGGGGACACTGTACTATAAAAATGCATCATCCTTCAGATGAGACATAAGACCGAGATCCTGACTCTCTGTGGTCATTAAAAATCCCAGGGTATTTCTCGAAAAGGGTAGGGGTGGCCAAATTTCCAATTGGACTTTACCAGCCATGGCCTCCTAATAATCCCCATCTATGAATTGGCATAATCACTCTGTTTCTCCTTCCCTCTGATAGCTGATGTGTGGTGAGTGTTCTGGTGCACTATGGCTGCTGTTACATTAAGTGGTGCTGAACATTGGTGGTGGAGGGGGGGAGTCCCCATTACCTGTAAGGTGCTTTGAGTGGAGTGTCCAGAAAAGCACTATATAAGTTTAAGGCATTATTATTACTATCCTGATTCCTTATGATAACCAAGTAATTCTTTGGTGAATACTGATTTAGTATTGATAACAAAACTATAGATGGTCAATGTCCTTTTTTAAAATGTCTTTGCAGACACAAACTGCTAAACCTTGCAGTACTTAAAGTAGATATAATACGTATTTTTCATTTTTAGCAGTATATCTATGCACTAGAAAGCAAAAAATAAGAGACACAATATTTTTGAATTTGAAAGACAAAACAATTCCAAAAAGCAGCCAGATACACTAAGACACGGGAAAAAAACACAACACAGTACTGCTTACCTGGATAATCTTCAGATACGTGCACTGAGTAGGACACCCTGAAGAAATAAAAAGTCAGTTACTGAATGGTAATAGTATTTGATCATTTTTAGCATAATACAAAGACCATTTACATATGTCACAAGTGTTCATATGTAAAAAGTTTTAAAATAGCGTATATTGCCACTATGGTATGACTGATAGTAATTGAAATGGTATTATTAAAGTCATTAAATTGAAATAGCTACTACCACTGTGTCTGATATTAAACACAATGAATTAAACACTACTAATATGGCTTAAAATAGTGCAAAGTGTTAAATCACAGATACAAATATAAATATTCACTAATGATGTAGACTATCTGCATCTAATAATGTATCATGTAATTCTAACGGAACAGTATAATATATGCTGTGTTTATTCATGAAGTTCTTGTATAACAAAAAAGATACACTTTTCTGATATAGTTGTAAACAAGGCAAAAAACATCTAAAAGCAAATGCAGAAAACTGTTTTAAAGGGATAAATCTGAAAGTGGAATTTCGTCTTGTACTCTCCAAATTTAATCCCATAATGATGACCTATGTATAATTAACCCCACAAATCTTTCTTCAAAACAAAAATCTTCAGGTGCAAACAAGTCTGGTTTAATCCATTTAAACTGCATCTCTGTAGTAATTTATAAATAAGAGTAACTTTGCAGAAAACATTAATTCAGTGTAATACAAGAACAAAATATTAAAGTTAAAAATTAAATATGATCCAGTTATTAAGGCTTTTAAGAAACTTCCATACAATACAGAAGCAATTTTGGAAAAATAAAATATGGGTTAAATGTTAGTAGCAAGCAAAGTATGTATAATTGTTAATACAAAAATCATGGTGCACCAACAATATCCTGAATACTGAAGCAAAGCATTGTTACAGTTAGATGTCTATTAGCATTACAGTACATGTAATTGTTATGTGTCAACTCACAAGTGACCAGAAAGACATCTGCCTCTTTCTGAAACTGATGAGTGACACTATGTTCAACCACACACAGTTAGAAAGTTCATAGTCACAAACATATAGCAGTAGTCACAAACGGCCAGAATGATATGGTCAGTAGGAACAGAAGCAGTCTGCAGTACTGTCTGTATTGAAATGCTGACAACTCAGTGCCAATGCAAAAAATATTGCAGCAACTTCTGAGGTGCAAATCTGAAGCAGATCTGGGAGCCGATGATGTCTACCATGTGACAATTCAGTCAGCGGAGCACTTCTCAATAGAAAGGAGTTTGAACTTCAACAAAATGACAGCCAAGCAGCATTCTCGCTTTGTGCAAGATTTCCATTTCTCCATACTGTAATTTTAAGTTCACTTGAATGATAACCACAAAGTTAATTGACCAGTCTTTGAACAGGAGCAGAATGTGACACAGATCACATATTGACAACAGGACAAAATGACAGTCAGACAGTCATCCTGATTTGCACAGGAAAACTTAATCTTGCCACATTCCAACCTCACATTCACTTCTGATCCTCTAAAAGCATCAAATATCTAACACAGATTTCCAGTGATCAATGCTTTGCATTCCCATTGTACTTATCACCCTTTGGTGTTAGACACATGCTTACTTATGAATTGGATGAATTGCTTATTTTCAGTCTTCTGCACATCCCTTCTCCCATCCACTCCTTCCTGCACAACCATCAACTCTGTCATGATTTTTGTAAATTTTTCCTCCAACCACAACTACGGAAATTCTACAGGACATGGGAGATGAACTTTTCCAGGATCTCCAATCCTAGCTTGGCCACTCCCCCATTCTACTCACAACCCCTTCTTCAATCTGCACTGGTCTTAACTGCTGAACACTTCCCAGCTCACCCGTGGCTCCCTAGGAAGCCAGTAGGTTTCATCCCATTGGTTATTCCAGCAGCCAGCTCCGCCCCTCTACTCACAGCTCTTCCAGCCAGCAGTTTCTCATGGCCTGCTTACAGCTTTCACCGCTAGTAGCCTTGCCTTGCCACTTGTCTAGCTCTAGTACGCTGATAGATCAGTTTGTAATCACCTCTATTGCTGTGCTCACACTTTCCATAGCAGCCAACAATGCCCAAATCGCCATCTTCAAACCAGCCCTTCCCCATCTGCCGACGGACCTTCAGGAAGTTAAACAAGCCACCATCCTCATAACTGTCGCAGACCCTGGACTCACTGCTCCAACCACGATTCTGCCAGTACTCAGCCCTGTCACTCCAACTAGACCATCCCCTCTGAGACACGGACAGTTGCTCTACTGCAAAACGTTTTGAAAGGACCAGGCTGTTCTTTTATCTTAAACAGCAAGGTAAAGTTTAAAACTCTTTTTTTGCCACAGTATCTTGTCAATCAGCAGCAGCCGTAACAGCCTGATCGGTCCCTCAGCACATCCTGCTGACGTCACACCCTCTGGGACTGCAGGTCTAGTCTGGACCCCTGGGCTGTCCACAGCACTGCAGCACTATCCCCTGCTTTTTCCTTTGATGGTGTTACTTACTTCCTCTACCTCCCACTCACACTATGCCTGTAATTTCTCATCTCATCCTTTTTTTCGCAAGTTTCTGTCCCTTCTAACCAACATCTGGTTCAGTTTTGCACTTTAGAGATTGCAGTGATACTATATATGTTCAAACTGGGTCAGGCACCCCATAATGCTAGCTGTTCTTCCCCAAAGACTGTTTGGCCAATTAGCCACAGAACACATACACAAAAAAAGAGAAAATACAGTTGCAAAACAGTGAAAGAGGGATTCTGCATCAACTTAAACCATTTTGGTCTCTTGATGAAACAAACTTTAGAACCTTTCTACACCCATAACAGGTCATTGACTATTTAGCAAACAAGAACTGAGCTGCTCACTTCTCTTCTTCAAAAACTATTTGGCCAATGAACTGAGAAATCTCATTTAACGTTCAACTTAGTTTACCCACCCTGTGAAAATGGAATTTCATCTCCATGATGCCACCATCTATCAAGCTCTACAAACATCCTTTTTTTTATTTAGGCAAGATTTATATATAAGTTTTAAATGTTATTGCTTATAAAAGCTGTTTATCCAATGTCCATTTGGATTGGTTAGGTGATTCTATAACCTACATTGAGTCGGACTGTAATCATCAAGCTTCACTTCCTAATCATAAAAAGGCACAAATCTGCATAATGAAATCTCCACATTAAATTACACTACAACATTTTTTTAACAACTCTATTTTTTCACAGCATAGCTGACTGCACGGCAACCTTGGTGAACAGGTGTCCACACTAGGCCAGTACAATTTCTAGAGGTTAGAAGTTATAAGGTGATGCAGAGAACGTTTAGTTAGCACAGTGCCATGGAATTATGATGATACTGAAGTCATGATGAAACAAAGGCATGTATCATTATTTCAGAACAAGGATCTTAACCAGGTTAAGCAGGTTAGAAGATAGATACACATGTGACAATAATATGTGCTTTAGATGACAACACTGAGTCGGAAAAATAAGCCCAAGGTTTAATCGTCAATTTCAGTTTTGACACAAACGTTAAGCAGAATGTTCACAATGCGGATCTTGATGAAGAAGATTAACCAGAAAAACAAACAAAAGCAGAAAGATCACCCACAGCACAGACTGCATGGATCATACCCAATTGAATGTCTACATTGTATATACAGATAGGGCTGCAATGAACTGGAACACCATGTTTTGACCACAAAAATAACTGAACACTGACAAAAACCTGAAATATCTGTGCAAAAAGGAAGTTTTTATTTTTTATTATGAGCTGCTTGTCTTAACCACATATCAGTATGAGGCTGCTGTGGTTAATAATGTTAAAATATACATTATTTAAAGTGGTAATTCACACTTGGGAATACAAAACATTCTGCTGAGTCAAATCCCAATGCCATGTGCACCATTTTTAAAGTGTCCACTACTCTTGTGATGTATGGTGCGTGACAATCAGTGAGTGGGGATTTAAAATAATATTTTTCTCAGTTGGTATTAAAAATCTCACTATTTTATATTACTGATCTTATTCAAAGTTCAGGTAGTAGTATCATAAGTACAGTAATTGTAAAGGTACATTTTGTACAAATTAAAAATCACAGTTAGTACATTAGCCCCCATAGATTTTCACAAGAGTAGCCAACAAGTTGGTTTTCATAAAGTATCTGAACTCTTGCAAATAATTAGAAGACACACAAACTCAAAGCACTGAAGCAATAAACATTTTGATGGTGATTTTCAGGAGCAATGCAAAATCCACTAAATCCACTGTTACCAATAGTAACACCCATAATGAAAGTGTCAAGAATTATCACTTTTTTAAAACAGAATATTAGAATAGACAATTATTTTTGCTATATCTTGTTTTGGTTTGGAAAAGCCGATTGAGTGATTCTTCTCATCAATGTAGTGACTCTACTTCATCCAAACAGCCCAACCTCAAGGCCCTCGTTTTAGAGGTTCAGCTCTGACTGGAGAAGAGATGAATCTCTCATCAAAAGCACCACATTCCTGCAAGTAGTTGCTGAGAGCCATGAGAGCACTGGATCCCCAATCACACCCTTCCCCTGGTGGTGCTGGTTGAGTCACTCAGGAGGCCCCAAAGCTATCAATTTTAGATCAATGTAAATTACAGTGGCTGCCAATTACATGCAGTGCCATTGCAGAAGCATTCAGACTCTTGCCCGGTTTTTACATTTTGTTGCTTTAAAGCCAGTAGCCATGACACTTTGAAGGAGCAACTAATAGTTTATACACACACAACATACTCCACACATTCAAAAAAATAAAAAAAGAAAGAAAGAGATCATTTATGAAATAAAATCATAAGTATTCAGCTCTGAATTAATTTAAGTGTAGACAATCATCTTAATGAACCGATTAGCAGAATGTAATAGTGGTTAATTACAATAATAGTAGCCAGCAGCCATATCACCCTGTAGCTCTCAACTGGCTACCCACCGAAGCTAAGCAGGGTTGTGCCTGGTCAGTACCTGGATGGAGAAGACCTCCTGGGAAGCTATGGTTGCTGCTGGA